ATGTTAAGCTCTGTAAATATAATCTGAGTCTTTGATATGAGGATCTAAACGTTTAAAAAAACTATTTCCACATAAGAGTCAGAAATAGAGACATAATTTGGGGTGTCAGACTGAGGAGTCGTACTTGAAGCGATTGGGTGTGAGGAAGTTGAGGAGGTGAAAAAGCTCCTCCAGGTTGTTCTGGAGGGGAGTTCCTGTCAGCAGCAGCTTGTAGTCGATCTTGTAGTCGTTCAGACGCCTGAAAAACTAGACGAGAGGAGACGAGAAGGTCTGAGCTCAACTTAACAAACATCAGTATCGTGTCTCCGGTCGGGGTGCGTTCAAAGGCCTGAGCCTGAGGAGGAGCCTTTGTTTTCTTTTGTCCGGGTGGGAAATCAGCTCTGACCTTTGAGTCGTTCCTGCATTAAAAAGGGCTCCTAACTCAAGGGATGAACTAAGGCTGTGTGGCCTTTAAGGAAAGTCCAAGACCAGATCGCACAAACCAGGAGCCCTGGGTGGGGGAGGTCTGTTAGGAGGCCCAACAGGACCCCAGAGAGGAGGTCTGATAGGAACCCGTTAGGAAGCTCGTTGGGAGGTCTATTAGAGCAGTGTTTTTCAACCTTTTTTGAGCCAAGGTAAATTTTTTCATAGAAAAAATCTCGAGGCACACCACCAACCAAAAATGTTAAACAAATCTGTAGCCGCCTATAGTAACACTATAGTTATTCTTATCTTATTCGTATCTTATCTTAAGTGTCTTGAATAGGAATCAAATAAACACAAAAATGTATTTTTTATCATATTTTATATTTCTTCTTTCAAATTGCACTTAACATGGCCACTCCAATATACAAAATTATATACAAAATCTAGTCATAAGGAATTATTATATGATTACTCCACCAGTCACTAGAACAGCACAGACACTCAAAAATGGCCTATTGTTTGCAGATAATTAATTCCTTATCAAAAAATCTTTTTAGACCAATTAGGTGAAATAGGATGATTTTCTACGGCACACCTGACCATCACTCGCGGCACACTAGTGTGCCGAGGCACAGTGGTTGAAAAACACTGTATTAGAGGACCCGTTAGGAGACCCAACAGGAGGCCCGACAGGACCCCAGACAGGAGGTCAGATAGGAGGCTCGTTAAGACGTCCGTTAGGAGACCCATTAGGAGGTCCGATAGGAGGCCCTGTAGCAGCCGGGGGGGCTAATGATCAGGGACTGCACCAGCATTTGGGGGGCCGGTTTTCAGGAACAGCCCGATCTATCTAACGTTGAAGAGGGCAGATGCTTACGAAAGGTCAGAGGTCATCAATGAGGACACCTGAGTTTCTGAGAGCTGAGAAAGAGGGATGCTGGGGCCTGGAACAGATGATCTTAACTCACCTTTAGCCTGCATTTACGAGTCACGGCCCCCAAAGAAATGAGGAGTGGCTGAAGTAATTATTAATATTCAATACTGGTGATGTAAACCGGTGGACGGGGGCAGTGTTTCTCCATTCGGTTTCGGTACCTTGGACTGGTTGTTCTTCAGCCGGTGGGCCTCGTCCACCACCAGACACGCCCAGTCGATGGACTTCAGCGCCGTCTGGTCGATGGTCACCAGCTCGTAGGAGGTCAGCAGGACGTGGAACTTAATCGGAGCCTCTCGCTGCAGAAAGGGAGGAAAAAAGGCAGATCTTACTCCGTTTGATCCTGTTCTGTTTCCTCCAGTTAAACCCTCTTCACCCTCAGTTTATTTTTAAAAAAAAAAGTTTATTTATTTATTTATTATTTATTTATTCTTTATTTTATTTTTTATTTTATTTATTTTTTTATTTTCGTTATATTCGAAGCGATGAAATATACTCTGATCAAATGCTGTCTTTTTTTATTTTAAATATGAACAAGTTTTATACAAATTAAGAATAATTGTGGAGATTAAGAAGATTAACAAAAGATCCTAAGAGATAGATAGATAGATAGATAGATAAATAGATAGATAGATAGATAGATAGATAGATAGATAGATAGATAGATA